TCAAAGCGACTTTCGTTAAGAGTTTGTTGGTAAGAAAGGTTAAGCAATAACTAGTAAGTAATAGTATTCTCCAGTCTTTATACAAATATACTTTATACCCCAAAACCGAGTTCCCATTGGTAAGGCCCCTTGCCAGCCGGCTTTCGTACTGTAAGATTTGGAATCTTTAGACAACCAGGCTTTTGCCGCGATAGTGGAGGCATGTCTTGAACCTCAACATGGATGGTTTGCAAATCGCTTGAAGCACTTCATGTTTTCTTTGACAGAAGATGCTTTGCTGGGAGGTGCCCGTGCTTCCAGTTCTTGGAGATTCCATGCCAGCAGGCAGTTCGCCACGTTCGAGTTTGTTGGTTGAGTGTGTGTTTGGTAGATTTTTTTGAAACGGTGGCTGGGGGTTTTCGGGTTTAGGATTCTTTGGGTTTCGGGGCTTCAGAGCTTCCTGGGCTTCTAAAGAGTTTTCGGACGTTTGGGCTTTAGGGTTCTGGGATTCAAAGTGGTGAGGGGTATGAGCCCGAAGGCCAAACAGGAGACGCTAATAAGCTCGCGAGCATTTAGTAATACGAGTCTAGTAGTTAGGATGCGCCATGTTCACATATCGTTCTTCGCTCAGCTCCAGTAGAGGGCCCCCCATGCGTGAAAAAAGCATCCCTAGAAGAAGCCTGTACATACGCCTATGAACCCTGCAAGAACCCGACACAACCTACCTGTGAAGGTTTCCTTATGATGTTTTTAAAACAAAAACCCAACAGGTGGGTTTTGGTGACAAAGAGCCCTCAACCCTAAACCCTAAAGAGACCTTAAACATCCTGATGCCATAAGAATGCTTCTACAGAACTGCAGGTGGCGAGGATGAGGAGGAGGGCGTTGTGGACTTGCCTCGTGCCTAACATACGGCTTGCAGTTTCGGGAAAAATTACCCTAATCCCTAAACCTAAACAATGAACCCCGAAGCCCCTAAACCCCTAGGCCCTAAACCCTAAACCCTACACCCTACCTTTTCTCTATATAGGAGCCTTACTGCCGGTTAAGAGTTTAGCGTTGTGCTTTCATACCGAATTCCGATGCCACTCTTCCTACACTCGAGTTTGAACGTTTAGGGACGCAGGGTTATGTCTATGAAGTATGTACTTAGGCCTTCAAATGCCTATTATAGGAACCCTGTTAAGGCCCATGCGTATATACTACGTGGGTACATGGAGCCTAATGGAGCGTTAGGGATAGCATGTTCGCGTTCGCAATTAGGGTTCTACGCTTGGGATGTACCTGGCTGAGTAATCGCCAGCTAGAGTGGTCCAGTTTTCCTGCTGCGACTGTCTCTAAACCCCAAACCCTAATAGCCTAAACCCCCTAAAACCGAAACCCTCTCCCTAAGCCCTAAACCCTACACCCCTAAACCCTGAACCCCCAAACCCCAAACGCCCTCCATAAACCCTAAAACCTGTTAGAGTAGTTCCTTTTTGCGGGCCTCGAAGCTTAGGGCCGAGGACTTCCCGAGTTTCCTCTTAAAGCAAACCACGGAAATTGTTGAGGGTTTTACGGTTTTTAGGGTTTCTTAGGGTTTTTTAGGGTTCAGTGTCTCTCTCCTCAAAGTTTTTAGGGTTTCTTAGGGTTTTTTAGGGTTTAGTGTTTTGGGGAAAGAGACACTATACGGCTACAGAAAAGGGCAGGGAACTATGAAGGCTACTATAAAGTGTACTATAGGGCTACCATGAGGGATACTCTACGGCTACCATAAGGGATACTATACGACTACAGCGGGGTACAATGTAGAACAGTGCGCAATTCGGCTTAGTTCTGGAGTATATGTGCACGACAGCACCGTGGGGATACCGGGGCTGTGCCGCCACCCGGCGGAAGAACAACTGCCTCAACGCAGTCCGCAGTTTAGAGCCAGCCGTTCTCAACCCTAAACCCCAAACCCTAAATCCCAAACCCCAAACCCAAAAAAATAAAAATAAAAATCCTCAGCCTCCAAGCACAAAAACTCTTTCACCGCAAACCCAAGGCCGTTGACATGACCCCCACCCACCAAGCCTTAAACTCCGATATGCTTGCGTGTATGCGTGTTATATATATATATATAAAGACACAAAGTATCAAACGTATACCTATGTGTATAATCTGTACATATCTATATAGAGATGTATACATATTCTTGTTTCATTATAGCTGTATCTGTACGCATATGTGTGTATATACACACACTGAGTTAGTCGTTGAGTTCACAAGCCCTCCCTCCAAAGAATGCACACTTTCGGTTCTAGAAGGGGTAATGATACCCCCAAAAAATGCAAAGTGCACTAGTCATTCAGCTACTCTATACATGTGTGTATTCATATATGTACATATTATACGACAATACGGATGAATATACATGTGTATGTAAATTTGTGTGTGTGCATGTGTATATAGAGCCCTAAACCCTAAACCCCAAACCCAAACCCAAACCCTAAACCCTAATCCCTAAACCCTAAACCCTAATCCCTAATCCCTAAACTCTGAACCCTAAACCCTAAACCCTAATCCCTAAGCCCTAAGCCCTGAACTCTAAACCCTGAACTCCGGGAAGACCCTCGTGCTCCAGAAGAGAAGACGCAACTCGAGAACTTCCCGAGTCCCAAACATCGACGCCTACGATAGGAGCCTGAATAATTACCAATGCTATTTTTTTTTTGGGGGGGGGGAGGGTCCTTATCATAACTATAGTATACTATTTTGGGGAGTTCCTTATTGTAACTATAGTATATTATTTTGGGGGTTCCTTCATAACTATAGTATATTACTTTGGGGGCTCCTTCTTATAACTATAGTATACTATTTTGGGGGTTCCTGATTGTAACTATAGTATATTACTTTGGGGGTTCCTTCTTATAACTATAATATATTATTTTGGGGGTTCCTTATTATAACTATAGTATATTATTTGGGGGTTTCTGATGATAACTATAGTATATTACTTTGGGGGTTCCTTCTTATAACTATAGTCTTTTATATTTGGGGCGTTCCTTACTATAGTTATACTATAAAGGAGCCCAAAATCCTATTCAAGTTATCACGGCCCTATATTACATCCCTCCTCAGACCCCCGGAAGGATCGATCTCGGAGTGCTGAAAAGGAGGGTTTAGGGTTTAGGGTATAGGGTTGAGGGTTTATGGGGATCTAGAAGGTCGAAACTCCTGATTTGGGAACCTACCAGGACCCCCCAAGGGCCCGTTAATGGAGCCCTTCTGGTCCTTAATAGTGGGTAGGTAGGTCTAGGTATACTGCTAAAGGGTACTTTATAGCAACCCCCCGTCGCAGATCTTGTTTCTGGATCCTCCCAGAGGTCTGGGTCATTGTCACTTGTAGACAGGGAACAACCCACCTAAGCAGAATACGCACGGACACACCACTCGTTTGGGCGCCCGTCGTCTGTCTGGAAAGTGTCAGTTTCAATACCATTCTGATCCACACAGCCTGCTGGGGTTTAGTTTAGGGGTTTGTGGCTGGGTTTTAGCATCTTGGGGGTTGACGGATATAAACCCTAAACCCCTAAACCCTAAACCCTTTTAGTAAGACGAGATGTTGCGGGTTCAGGATGTTTCATGTGGTGGTCGCTGACGGTTGAGGGGTTAAAGGGCCTGTGGCTCTGCGTCTCTGGTGTAGGCGTTCAAGCTTTCGAGTTCCCAGAGACTCCAATATGCCTTAATTAAGGAATATACCTTAAGGTTTAGGGTTTAAAGTTTAGGGTTTAGGGTTTAGGGAATATGCCTTCAGTTATAGTAGGATCCCTAATATGATCTAAGGTATGTTCCTTAATTAAGGGTTATTGGGGTCTCTGGGTTGAACGGTTTGGCATTTCATGGACTTGGGGTTTGGCTTGTGGCCCTAAACCCTAAACCCTAAACCCTAAACCCTAAACCCTAAACCCTAAACCCTAATCCCTAAACCCTAAACCCTAAACCCTAAACCCTAAACCCTAAACCCTAAATTGGTTTGTGGCTTGGAGCTTCGGCATGTTTGCAAGGCTCAAGATGAGAAGCGTGGTCCGTCGATGGGTTTAGGGTTTAGGGTTCAGGGTTTAGGGTCTAGGATTTAGGGTTTAGGGTTCAGGGTTTAGGGTTTAGGGTTTAGGGCGTCTCCTTTTCAGACCCCTGCGAAACTTAGGCCCTAAGCCCTAAACCGTTAAACCCTGAACCCTTAACCTTCCCGAAATTCTAGACCCTAAACCCTTTAAAGTGTGCAGAACTTCCTCTCCCAGCCTTGCATGCAACGCAAAGGTCCTGTCGTAGACTAGCACAAGCTACATGGATTTAGGGTTTAGGGTTTAGGGTCTACTTGGAGGTTCATGGGTACCTCAAAGTGGGGTTGAAAGTCCCCGAATATGGGTTCTGACTATAGTTAGCCAGTTTTGACCCCACTTATAACTACCCATGAACCTCCAAGTATGCTTGCTACAGCAGCCCGCTCGCGAGTTCGTCAAACCCTCTGTAGAACCCTTAAAGAACCCTTAGACCTTCAATTTTAGAAGCATAGAAGCCTTCTAGCCGGATCATTCAGACACAACGTGTTCACCTTGGCCCGATGGTGTACATTTGGCAAGTTTCCGGGGAAAAGTTGGTGGAAGTCTCTGACGAGCAGTTGACTGATGCGGCTGCCCTGAAGCAGCTGTTGCAAAGCCACTGTGGCGTGACACCCTTCAGACAGAGACTTCTGTGCAAAGGAAGCTATCTCGAGGACGCTTAGCGGTCCAGAAACCAACATTTTCAGCTTTGAACCTTTAAGATTTCGTTGTCCTATTCTGAAAGTATGAACTTCTGATCCCTTTACATCCCTCAGGGTTTTGGGGGAAGTAAGGGCGAATATCCCAAAACAATTTAGGGTTTAGGGTCCCTAAACCCTAATTTAGGGGCCTAAAGAATTGCAAAAATGATTTTGTGAGTTCCTCATTATAAATACAGTATGTTGGGCCCCAAAACCCTATTTTGATTACTAAGGCCTTTATGTATGAAACCCTAAGGACGAAGCCAGCTTACAGGGGGCAGAAGACCTGCAGCTGGTTTTGCTCAGCTTCGCTGCGACGACCCAGGAGCCGGGTTTGGTTCGGTAGTACCCTTTTGGGGGGTTTAGGGTTTAGGGTACCCTTTTTGGGGAGTGAGGGTTTAGGGTTTTTAGTTTAGGGTTTAGGGTTTAGTACCCTTTTGGGGGGTTAGGGTTTAGGGTTTTTAGTTTAGGGTTTAGGGATTAGTACCCTTTTGGGGGGTTCGGGTTTAGGATTTTTTAGTTTAGGGTTTAGGGTGACCGCCAGGGTTGCTATAAGGGTTACGTAAGGGCTACCAAAAGCGTTAAACAATGCAAGGGTTAACCCTAAACCCTAAACCCTAAACCCTAAACCCTAAACCCTAAACCCTAAACCCTAAACCCTAAACCCCAAACCCTAATACTAGAGGGGTTTAGAGAGCTCAAGGGGCCCCTTAAGTCGGGTTTAGGGTTTAGGGTTTAGGGTTTAGGGTTTAGGGTTTAGGGTTTAGGGTTTAGGGTTTAGGGTTCTTAAGTCAGGAATATACCTTAAACCGTATAATGTTAAGGTTTTAGGGTCTAGGGTTTGGGGTTTAGGAATATATACCTTCAACCAGAGCATTCATGCCCATATAATTTGAGGTAAATTCCTTAACTAAGGGGCCTTGTTCCCTTTTACGGTTTGGGTTTGGGGGGTTTAGGGTTGAGGCTTCGGGGTTTAGGGAAGAAGGGTTTCCCGAACCGTCCCCGAACCCTTTTTCATCATGGGGCACTGCAAAACTCAGGAGCAGATCAATGAGCTCGTGATCTCTGCTCGTTCCGGCGATCATCAGAAAGTGAAAGACATGTTGCTCGGACCCCCAAAATAAAGCACATAAGGGTATAGGGCTTAGGGCTTACGGGATTTAGGGTTTAGGGCTTCGGGATATCCCATATACACCCCCATAGAGTGAAGCCCAATAAGGTTGGGACATCGTTGTAGAATGCGCATGCTCATCGCGTTTTTGGGGCCCCTGTAGTTGGTAAGCCTATACCCTGAACCCTAAACCCTGCCCTAAACCCTGTAGTTGACAAGTTCTTTTTGCCAGGAGCTTCTTTTAAGTTATCCTTACAAAGATCTGCGGTAAGCTATATAGGTGTCGGGTGCAGGATTACGGGTCATAGTCAAAATACGATGAATATAGTGGTAACGGCCCTACGTATAATAGCAAAAAAGGATAATAACTCCAAAAATAGTAATAATAACAATACTAATGTAATAATAATATTGTATACTACATAACATATAAGAACAGCAAATATAACAATTGGTTGAGGAATAGCAGTCTTGGCAATAATAGTAATAGCAGCGATCACATCACACTAGATCGGTGGAGTGCTTTCAGATCATGTTGAATCAGGGAAATAGTTGTTACGCTACCCCTTCAACGTTAAACAGCTTAGAGAGGCCGCATGCTTCAATCCAAACCCTAAAAGTTATACCCTACCCCGTTTTCTAGGTTTTTTATATAGCAGATCCTAACCATAAAACTATAGGTACCTTAAAAAAGGGGTAGGGTATGACCCTATAGGTAGTCTAAAGACCCCAAGGGTCCCAAATACCGATATAGTAGAATGTAGCGTTTCTGAATTAGGCATTACTATTATGATTTAGGTGAAGTATCCCCCATAACAGTACATAGGACCCTTTGGGAGAGAAAAGCCGACCCAGGTTGATGAGACCATAAAACTAGGTACCTTAAAAAAGGGGTAGGGTATGACCCTATAGGTGGGAGTTTCCAAAAATTAGGGGTACCTTATTTTGGGGTCTTTATATTAAGGATCCTATTATTTAGGGTACTATATTAGGGTCCCCTATTTCCAGAAACCCCCAGGTAGTCTAAAGAGAAAAGCCGACCGAGGTTGACGAGGCCACAGGATCCAGATTCATCCAATGCTGCTGGAAACAGACCTCTGATTGCGGCGGCAGCAAGTGGGCATGCCGAAACTGTTTCTCCGCAGTCCAGCTAGTAAACTTTAAACACACGTTTCGGGATCATCGATCGAACCAACAAAAATAGTGAACGTTTGAGCGCTCTTGTGCTAATTGATGAACTTGGCAACGCAGGTTGCATTGCTCTTAGCTGCTGCCGCTGATAAGGACCTCTCTGACGCAGACCGAAACACTGCCTTGATTCTCGCGAGTGCTTTCAAGAAGCTAGAGGTCGTAGAATTGCTGGTGGAGGCTGGTGCTTACCTAGACGCAGCAAACCACAACGGCACGACGGCGTTGATGGCGGCATCTAGGAAAGGCTACGATGATATCGTTGCAGTGCTCTTGAGCAGGAGAGCCCAAACAGACTTGGCTGACAATGCCGGAAATACTCCTCTGATCTGCGCAGCAGAGGAGGACCATGTGAAGACCGTGAGTTTGTTGTTGGAGGCCTCAGACAAGGCAAAAACCTTGGCATAAGGAATGGAATGAAGGTTGACTCTAGTGCGGATCTATTTCACAAACGAAAGGGCTCATTTTCGATAGTATTGAAGCTTAAATAATCACCAATATTATTCTAAGGGTTCCTTATAATAAATATAGTAGAATGGGCGCCAAAACCCTATTCTAATTGTTAAGGCCCCTACATTAGCAGGATCCCGACCCCAAGGACCTCTTCAACAACTGGCAAAACTGCAAAGTCCCATTGAGCTTCCAGTCTGCGCGGAACCTCCGGTTTAGGGTTTAGGGTTTAGGGTCCTGATATCCTCAACCCCAAAACCCTAAACCCTAAACCCTAAACCCTAAACCCTAAACCCTCCTAAACCCCAAAACCCTAAACCTCCGACCCCCAATCCCCAAACCCTAAACCCACGCGTGGCTTCCAGAAGAGGCCGGCGCGCGGGCGAACCTGGCCAACCACTTGGGCAGCCCCTTAACTCGGTTACCCATTAGTATCATTTTGCCCTTTTTCTGTTTGGGTTCCCTTACAAACTACAACCAAATGGTAAGAAAAAAGGGTACCTTTCTAAGTAAGGGGCTGCTAGGGGCGGTTTAGGCATGCAAAATTCCGAAACGTGACAGTAGTGGGTTCCCATTAGCGAGTTTGTTACAGCTATTAAGCAACTTATCTGGGCATGTTTAGCATGTCTGTTCCTGGTTGCTTCTTAGATTATCAAGTTGTCTTAGGAGTGGGGGTGGGGCCTGCTTCACCCTAAACCCTAAACCCTAGGAACGGCTCTCCTCGTAGCGTCGGAGCAGCGCTCCGCGGAGATCCTGAAGACTCTTTTGTCCGCCCGTGCTGCCTTGGAAATTTGGTGGCCGTTTAGGGTTTTAGGGTTTTTAGGG